CTGTTATTATTGTATTAAATTGGTCGGTTTATGCTCTCCAGAAAGCCCATCCCTTTTCAAGGGTTTAAATCCAAGAGGAAATTCCACTAATATCAAATAACATTACAATATAGGAAGAATAAGAGTATTTCTAGATATACACTCTATATAGAAATAACAAAGAGTAAATATAAAAATCATATTACTATGCGAGTGCTAAATTAAGGAGTTGCACGAGGAAGAAAATGCATAAAGTATACTCCATAGTAGTGAAATGAAATTAATATTCTAAAAGAATGATGACAGAACTGCTTTTAATTAAAGTAACACCTGTTGGATTCTGTTTCAAAGTGATCAAAGAAAATACTGTAGCACAAAACAAGGCACACAGTACGTGTTTAGTAGATCAAAACATTTAAAAATGTTTCAGAGAAGGATGAGATGTAAAGGGGGAAAAAAAAATCAGGGATTATGTTGGGATTACACTGAAACTTGACTAAAGGACCAGCACTCCTGAACAAATAACATTACATTAAACTAATTAGAGTTCAGAATATGAAATTGTTAAAGTTTGCTATCTCAGCTGTTTCTTTAAACTGGAAAAGGGATTAATCCATATTGTAAAAATAGTTAGTGGTTCAGAGGGCAGAAGCTATAAAATACTGCTGAAGGTTGGAAAAACAATAACAAAATCCATGAAAATGTGGAGCCTTAAATCCCAGTCCATGGAAGCCTTAGGCAAGTGAAGGGGTCTTTGTGGGAGTCCATTCACTGGACTCGGGTGCACCACTGCTATCAGTGAGGTGTGAGTGCTTTGGGATGCACCCTAAATGCAGGATATTTTGTTTGTAGCTTAAGACTGTGTAGTTTAACTGAAGTTAAAAACATTACAGGCTACAGATTTATTTTTAATCGGAGGGTATTCTTTCCCGGTGCTGTTGTCCTAGAGACAGTAATTTGTTTTTATTCTTTTAAATTTCCTAAAGACAGTAATTTGTTTTTGTTCTTTTTAAATTTCCTCTAAAGACTTCTGCACTGTAAACTTTCCTATTTAGTAAAGATGTCTAGTGTTCAGTTCTGATGGCTTTCAAGCCCCATTTAAATCAATAAGGATTGAGACTGCCAGAAATTCAGGAGGAGAGGACTCCAGCCCATTGAATCTTGCGGAGGATGTTATGACTGACTGCTGGCTCCTCTTGCTGGTGGAAGATGCTGAGGCAGGCAGCCAGCTGCTCTCCCCAGGAGGGAGTTAGTCCCTGGATCTCGGTTTGGGAACGGCTGTCTTAAATAATTTTGTTCAAATATAGTGCCTTTTATGTTCTTTCCAATTCTCTGTCCCTCTCGCAATTACCATTTCACATGGGAAGCATGTACCCTTTCTTCTTGTTCCTCTGCTTTTATCAAGATGGGCTGTCAGTGTTTTACTCTCATTGTAATATACACTCAAACACATGTATGTACACATGCATCCTATGGCAGAGGGAGGTAACAAGAAGTACATTTGACCTTAAGCGTCTATAATTTGCACAGCAAATATAAAATAAGACTGTACTGCATATAAATAAGCATATCTTGAGTCTGTGGATAACATTTGGATCAACTCTTCACCATTAAAATGCATTTCACTTGTGGGTTATTTTTTTTTTTATGAGCATATTCCGAGAGAAGTTGGTACGTGATCAGTATACCTGATAAAAAAAAAAAGGCATTTTTGACAAAGTGTATGTGGCAATTATGTATTTCCTAAGTCATTTTCTATTCAGCTGATGAAGCTTTTTGATATTCTGTTTATCACAGTTTAAGGGCTGATTTGAAAATCACAGCACTGCAGTACAAACACTATATTCCAGCAAACAGATGGCAAAGAACCATCAGCTATAATTCGTGAGTAAACAAAGACAAATGAAGTTTGGTATTGAGTTTTGAAGATGAGATGTAATCGTGTTATAGAACTGTAAGAAAGCAATGAAATATTGTATCATCCTGCCTGTACAGTAAAGCACAAATGCTATTTAATCTGGCATGATAACACCATGTCTTGTTTCATTACTGAAAACTGCAACTTTGGTACAGTAGAAAAATCGTGATGTCTGATCAGCACTTAGGAAAATGGGAATAAATTGTTTGCAAGTGTTTGTTTTTCCTTTGTGAAATGCATAGGGCCACTGAATGGCAAACAGACTTAGTGAGGTTGTTTGTGGAGTAAAAGCAACGCATACAGTGCAGAGCCATGGAGCTCTTCACAAGACAGAAAGAGATTACTACTGTTTTGGAAAGGAATAGAGCATTCACTTCTAGAATAGAAAGGATTATGTTGTCTTTTCTAAATGTAGACAAAAGGTGAAGAGATCACACAATATTTGTTTTTCCACCGGATGGTTTATTTGCATGTGTTTGGTAGGGGGAGGGAGGATTCTCCTCTGCTGACAACACAGGGTATATGGAGGAATTGCAGAGGAGTAGTGCAGCGCTCAACACTTTGAGGTCAGGAAGGTGAAAACATGCTGAAAACTTTGCCAGGAGGCTTGAACATTTTTGTGGTTTCATCTGTTTACCTTAGCAATGATAGAAGATTCAGACAATTACCCAACAAACTCAAACAGCGTCCTGTTTGGAAACACTACATCTCCTTTTCGGTATCATCACCAGGAGCTCAGTATTTCGAGCGTTTCCATTCAAGTGGTGCTATAATCAGGTCTGGTATAATTGGGAGTTAAAGAATGGTGGCTGAAGTGATCCATCTAGAAAAGACTGGGTGGAGGTTGTGGAGAGAAGGGGAGACTGCCATGCTGTCCTTAGAGCTCAGCCTGGGACTGCGTAGTCTCTGTGGCTGCTGATGCATTGCAGCTCGGAAGGGCATGCATCTTTGAAGATTTGCCATATATTTTCAAGGAAACTGGTAAACAACTCGCACCTTTCGGGCTGCACACTGGCATTGGAGCAATATAGCACAAATCCTTGATTCTCACATACTCAATAGATATTTAATTATTTTTTTGTACTTCAAAGACGATCATGCTTCTCGGATCTCTCAGTTTGGCAGTATGAAGCAAAGGTCTTCATAAAGCCTCTTCTCTTGTTGCCAACTGTTTCACTTTATGGCACTTTTAAATTCTGTTACACCTACCTTTTGCTCCCTTTCTATTTATTTTTATGTCTTCTCTTCCTTTTCATCCCTCTCTTTATTACTTCCTGAGGGTGGTTGTGGGGTTTTTTTTTTGTGGTTTGTTTTTTTTTTTCTTTCCCTCTAAGTTCTGTTTTCTAAGTTTCTCTTGCTGATGCACCATGGAGTAATTATTCAGTTGTTTTCCAGAAGAGCCAGCACTTCTATTTGTCTCGGTCTTCTCTTTGTCTGCAGGAGGCAAACAGAAAAGGGAAACTAATTAAAAAGTGAAGTATCTTTGCTGAGAGGGAAACCTTGGGTTCACAATAGACAATATACCTGCGTTGTAATGAGCTGTGGCTAGGGTACAGGCCAAAAAAAGTGCGGATCATGAAGCATACAAGGACAACTTGCTTACACAGATTTCACAAAACAGCAGTGCAGAAAGTTTGCTGGAACAAGCTTTCTCCTATTTTTTCCAGCATTTCCAAATACGCCACGGCTACTAATAGGTCTGTTTCCATTTCTGCCTTTAGTATTGACTGAGGCAAGTGTAAAGTGAAAAAAACCATGCCAACGGTGGTGGAGAGATTATAGGTTTGGGCCTAGGAACACAGACACGGGCAGTGGAAGATGCTCTCCTCCTTTGAGGCTAGTTTGCGCTCTCCATGTAGCTGCCCCAAAATATTGATGCAATATTCTGTAAATTAAATGTTCTGAGTCAAAGGGGGGTGACTAGTTTCTGTGCACATGTATGTAACATTAATATATTAACCCCTTGGAAAGTGAGGGAGAGCATTGACTTTTCTTGAGTGTGTGAAATTGAAATTACACGAGGTTAGGGTAATGTGTGTTTCTGCCACCCAAGAGCCTGGTCCAGTAGGTTTGGCATTTGAAACACCTGGTGCTGAGGACCTGCTGCTCAGGCCAAGGAATCTGAACTGGCTGCAGCCTCACCTTGTGCACAGGATACCTTTTGGCCCCAGAGCACATTAGGTGTGCTCCCAGCATGTGTTTTCTGGGTTTCTGCTCGTGGCCCCTGCAACTGAGGCTGCTCTACAGCTGCTTCAGAGTGCACTCCTGATGCACCCTAAAACGCTAATGCAGTCACACCTTGGATATTTCCATTAGATTGAACATTAGGAAAGAATTTTTCACCGAAAGAGTGGTCGGGCATTGGAACAGGCTGCCCAGGGAGGTGGTGGAGTCACCATCCCTGGCTGTGTTTAAGGGCCGCAGTGCTAAGGGACATGGTGTAGGGGAGGACTTTGTAGAGTAGGGTAGATGGTTGGACTCGATGATCCCAAGGGTCTCTTCCAACCTAGACAATTCTATGATTCTATGTTAACGTGTAGTAACAAACTAAATCATGGTTTCAGGTGTCTAATATGATAACCTCAACTGCTGATCTTTTATTTTATCAATCCTAGAAAAGAGGGAAGCGGTTTTAAAGGAATGCTGAGATTGAAATCCCTGGGCTGAGGTTTCTATTGTGCCTGTGAGGTAGGAAGGGAGGGTGCAGGACTGCCTGCGAGGTGTAGCCCTAGTCCCAGCAGGAGTCCCTGCGGTGGGGCTGTGGGGCAGAAAAGGCTGGGCAATAAATTATCACCCGGTGCCGTCCGTGCTCTACAACCTATGGGCGATCCATATTTCAGCCGGCCGTTCCCACGCTGTCCGCTTTATCTCGGTTGTTCATTTAATCCCGGCGGTAAATTGCCTCGCTTCTCCTAAATCTTCCCCGTCGTCTCGCCAGCCAAACGCGCGGGGGGGGGGGGGGGGTGGGGCGGGGGGCAGCGGTGGGGCAGGACGGGCTCTGGGCCCCCCACACCGACAGCCTCGAGCTGCTGCAGCTCCAGCAGGTGTGGGGC